AGCGACAAGAGGACGCAGTTGCAAACAACTTATTGGGTTAAAATATCTCTGCACAAAAAAATATGAAGAATAAAAACATCTTACATTCTGCAGTGTTTTTTTGACCTTCAGAAAACCTTAAAGCACATGATGATCAAAAAGAAAAACAGCAAAAAAAAAAACAACAACACATTTTTATCCATTAGAGGAATTGTAAAAGATCCAAGAAATCTTTTTCTTTTCTTAAGGAAATTTGTTTACTGAAACATTAAAAAGTGAAAAATATATTCACAAATGCTGGATGAACTAAAGCGGAGCTCTAAATATGTAAATCTACCTGACAGAATTCAGAAAATGTAGCCCTGATTTTTGCTGTTAGTTTGCTTGTTTGTTTTTGATGCATTTTAGGGAAATGGTGAGAAGTGAATATTGGGGCCAAGTTAGGCTGCTGATGTCCTATAAATAAATTAAATATGTTGTGTTCAGTTAATGTTATTGTGCTCTCTTCCACATTATAAAACAAAGCAAGCAGATATGCTGAATGACAACATTATCAGTGCTTAATCATGTTACTCTTTGAATGTCTGTTAGAGGTGCCGAAAAAGTAGATAGCAGAATTTATTGATAGCATATAATATGGTTCTATTTTTATCTCTAAAAAAAAAATAGGTGACAGAATAGTTATTTTTGAGTTTTCTACTGTATATCATTAAAGCTACAATCATAATATCTCAAAAAGAGAAACCAGCCACCCCAGCAGGGTACATATGTGTGCAGGTGTTTGATAGAATGAGGTCAGAAGAGTTTTAGTTCTAGTTTGAGTTGCTACCTTTGATGTGTGAAAGACACCAGTGTGTTTGTGCACACAACTGAGAATGTGCAACTCTCTGTACGTACTATATGTCAGTTCCCATGTCCCATTGTCTGGAATATGTACATATGTGACATATTTCTTACACAGGAAAGCTGTAAAAAGAAAAAAGCAGGAAGTAAATATCCCTGATTTGATAAAGTACTTCTTACTATTGGAACAATAGAATAAATACAATAGTATGGGTTAACATTAACAGGCTGGACTAATACACTTTTTAATACGGGTCATACATAGATTACAGAGATTCTGAGTAAGGAAAATATTTTAAATGTTGAGGTTCCACATTTATTTTATTTTACTTTAATGTCACATTTCTTTTTATTTACTATTCTAAAGTGCTCCTAATAGAAAAAGGCTTCTGCATCACATCATATTTTTTAATTATTCTTATTAAAAATAATACTTAGACGATGGTGGATCTAGAATATTACTTTAAATAATGCTAGTCACAATTATTAGAGGTGCCACTAAACAGGACACATATTATTTGAACTGCAGTATGTGATCTTCCTCTTATGAAAAAATCCTGTTGAAAAGATTGGCTTGAATTTTCTAAGTTTTTAGCTCTGCATTAGTACACATTAATAAGAACTATCTAAATTATAATTATTGGATCTTCCTGAAAAAGATGCCTTAACTCAAAAAAAGTATCACTCAATAGGATGACACTGGCAGACTGGTCTTCCAGAGCCTGACTCTCTTAAGTCCTCTCCCTGCCAGCCTTCAGGTCTTTTACTACTCAGGCAGTGACAGCTTTTTAGGGGTCATTGGTAAAAGGTCATGTCCCTCACACTTAGTTTAAGGTTAAAAGGTGAGGGAGATGACAGACTCACATTATTTGGAAAACCAAAAATATCTATATGCATAAAGAGATCTGAGAGTTTGGTGATTGTGTGGGTGGATTAAAAGAATCTCGGGTGTTTTATGTTTGCTTAAATTTGCTTAGGTTCATATTTTTGCTTTATTTAATATTCAGTTTTGCTGTGTTTATGGCTTTTAAATGTGTGAATTACCTCTGATGGCCTTTTAGTTTTTATATTGCGTAAATGCAGCTGCATAGTGCAAATGTAACATAATACAGAGAAATTCACATAAAGTCTTCTATTCATTCCTGAAAAAGTAGAAAACCTTTGAAGCTTTTTCCCTCAACCAGGTGGAAATTTAACATGGGCTATGACTTGCTTTAACATTTACTATAAATCTTGGTGCTTGAGTGAAGGCAATTTTACTTTCTGTTTTATGCCTTGATTTAGCATGTTACTATAAATTTGCCCATTATCTACCTTTAACATAATATCTGCTAGTTTGTCAATACATATTTTTATGAAAGAAGAAGACTCACTTTTCACTATTGTCCTAATTTTATTTCTCACTCAACTGTAAGGTAAAATAGGTCCATTCTGGTCTCTTAAAACTTTGACAATAACCCCAACTAGTGGGAAAATGACTGAAGTGCAGAAAAACGACCAGAATAAATGCATTTCGGATTAATGCCAACTGCACAGCATTTAAGAAAGGTTGAAAATGTAAAGTGCTATTTTTGTCAGAACTAAGCAATTACACATTTATGTTTGAAAATCTTTGCAACCTGTAAACAGATGTGTAGTAAGGAAAAGGATAATCTGTCATGGTTTTGTTCAGACCTACATACAGAGATTAGGTCCCACAAGACAGGAAAATCAGGTTTAACATATTTATCAACCAACAGCATGAAGGGAGAGATGGAGTTCTGGTCCTCTGAAAAACAGGGCATAGGGTTAAAACAGAACGTGCACAGGGAATGATTGCAACAGGCTTACTTTTCAGAGTGAAATTCCTACACTCTAATTCAGAGGTGAGTGGGATCCAAGGCTGTGGCTGAGAACAACAAGTCCTTCCAGAGGAGGCTGTCAGTGAGGTCGACGCATGCTGCTGGGTGGACTGATTTGGTCTTTTAAAAAAATCTTAGACAAATTACAATAACGTTTCCTTAATTTTCTCATATTATTTTCTCATATGATTTCTTTCTATTAGATACTTTTGACAATCTAATATAACATGTTCAATTGTTTCATTTTCCTCACAATAATCACATTGTCCCTTATTATGCTTTTGCATCCTAAAAAGTGAACTATTTAGTCTTGTGTGTCCAAATCTTAACCTTGTTGTAACCATTTCCTCCTTTCTATTCTTTCTTCCATTTTTATTTCCCCAACTGACTTTTTGATCCTACAAAACCATCTTCCTTTACTCTCTCTATCCCATTGTTTCTGCTGTTTGTTCTTTAATTTTTGTTTTATAATACAATAGTCTTTGCTTCTGATTTACTGATATACACTATAAAATCGATCAAGTTTTCGTTTCCCTTCAATCCAATATGGGTTGGTAACCATGGAAATACCACCCGTCTGTTATAATCTTAATAATGAAAGCTTCATGTCTGATAGTATATAGCAGATTATTGTTTTTAAAGGTTTAATATCCTCCATCCACTGACTGCCAAACAAAACTGACAAAAATTCTCCTGTTTTCATTTCTTTTACATTTGTTTTGATGCATCTCTCTCTCTCTCTCTCTCTCTCTCTCTCTCTCTCTCTCTCTCTCTCTCTATATATATATATATATATATATATATATATATATATATATATATATATATATATATATATATATATATATATATATATAAATAATTTGATAATATCTGCTTATCTAATCTTGTACCAAATTAGCCTTTAAAAATTATTTAAAAACATTTAAAATTTTTCAGATGGGTTTTTGCTGCTGCACTATAATTCAAACACCCTTAATCTATATTTGAGCTAATCAGTCCTGTGTAAATCTGCTTTAATTGTTTTCTATCTGCTCCACAGTCACTGCCTGTCAAACACCTCTTAATATTTAGGACTTTTTTACATTTATCTACCACTTTCTGTATATGTATATTTATGTTATTTTTTCATCAAAACATAAACCTAAGTACTTTATTCTATTAACTTGTACTAATTCTTGATTTTATAACTTTATTTTCATACACTCATCTTATTTATTTCTTTTTAAACACAATAACATTTTTCTTTTCAACAGAGAACTTAAGTCCCCATTGATTTGCCCATTTCTCTATTCTATTTCATCTTGTATATTTTTAAAAATAAATTCTACTTTACGACCCCTTTTTTTATATTTCCATTAATTTCCATATTTTGTAACTTAATCAGTCCCTTAACCCACATCATGTCGTATACTTTTTCTATATAAAAAAATACAGCAACTACACTTTATTTACTTGAGCCTTTCTGAATACATGCTCTAAAAATAGTGTTGGATCATTAGTATTTCTCCCCTTTTTTAAAACACTCTAAATCTTGGAAATGTATCCTTTAATATTCAAAAAATGTGTTAATAGGTTATTTATCATTTATTCCATCAATTTGCATATATTCTACGTAAGCAATAGGACGATAATTTTCTGTTTTACAATTATCCTTCCCTGGTTTAGCTACTGGTACGAGGACTGACTTGTTTCAGTTTTGTGGCAGCACCCCTTCCTTAGTATAGAGTTCTAAAATTATATCTTTAGACGTTGCACTTAAATTATTTATCATGGTGCACCAGATCTGATCTTTACCTGGTGCTGTATTTTTGTTTTCTTTAGTTCATAATTTAATTTTGCTTTCAAAACTTAATTTATTATTTCTATCTTCATTTATTTGTAGCAAATCTTAGTATTTTAGTTTTGTGGCTTCCCCTCTTTCCCTCGCAAAAAATTGATGACATCCGGCTCCTCTTAGGCATCCAGGTAATAAGGCTGATGATTTGCAGGTGCGTTGTCCCCACACCTGCATCCGATGACCCAATCTCTGAAGCAGCTCCAGGAAAAGCCCTCTGATGGAAAAATCCTCAGTCAAAGCTCCTCCCTTACAATATCACTTTTATTTGAATTTGCTTCTGCTCCTGTTGGACCATCCAGCAGCACCTTTCTGCTGAATTTCACAGCACATGATTTTCCAATAAACTGCCAAAGTATGTGTTTACTTGTGGTTCAACTTGGAAGGCTTTAGCGATTATTGGCAAGTTTTAGTGCTGACTTGGAGTGAGCGACTGTACCTGATGCTTGACTCCTTTCATTGCTGCTAGAAACAGTGAAAGAAACTCTTGTTTTCTTTTACATCCTGAAGACCTCTGAGCTCAGAAAGCAGATATTCATCTCATAATTTCTCTACTGAAGCTGCCCATAAAGCTTGCTCTCTGCACTTTTCTAGACATTCAGTGTACTTCTATGTTTATTTTGTAAGTCATAAGTATTTGATTTTTGTTTTACTTTTTTCTTCTATATTTGTTAGATATGAAGTTGGTGACACTTTTGGCTATTATAACTGGTAAGTTGTTCTTTTTATTTACTGATTTTAAGTAATAAAATAAAATTAGAATTACAGCTGAAACATCATTTTAAGTCACTCGATTTGCCATAAAGCTTTTTAGCTCTGAATCAAATTAAATTCAGGGAACATTAACAGTACATTATTTTCAGTGAAAACCCTTACTCTAATTTATTGGGAACTTTGTGCAATCAGCCTCAGTGAATTAGCTAATATTTTTAGTTTTTACAAGTAGAAATAATATAGTTGTAGTTTTGACATTTATGTAAAGTCCACCGAGTCAATACTTTGCAGCAACACATCTTTAGGGGTTTGTTTCATCATTCAGTGGAATATAGAGACATCCTTCATTCCTAATATAACTTTAAGTCGGCGACAAAAAAAAAAAAGTATGTTTTTAGTATTGTAAACAGATTCCTTATTTGACTTAGCACTTGCCTTTTGACTGTTAGAACACCTAGACTCTCTTTGGATCTATACCATTTTACAGTATAGCCCTGGCTTTTTATTTTCTCTCCTTCTGAATGAAGAACCTCCATTGCATCCTAAAGCCTTTTTTAGCCTCTAAAAGCTTCTCTTCCTATTTGTTTATGTTTTTTTCCATCTATTTAAAGTTGGCAAAAAACTTAGGTTTCCACAAAAGTAAGAAATCCCATAAATTTTCCGTTATGGGACTTCTTACTGCTTTCTTGAAATGGTATCTTTTTACTGCTTTTCCCTTTTCTGGACTGCAGCGCTAAACTTGATCTAGTGGAAATTTCCCACCTTAGCTGTGAATCTCTTAAAGCTTCTCCAGTGACTAGAAATCTTTTGGCAACCTTTCTGATTAATCTGTTGCCTTGGTAGGTGTAAATGTGCCATACTATCCATACTGTATTTTGGTTAAAATGTTTAACAGCGCTTTTTTCATAAATGCTTGCTTGCTCAAGAAAAGGCAACCAGGAACTGCTGACAGATTTCCTTTAACATCATACATTCCCCCAAATGATTAATGGTGAATTCTTCACTCCATTTTATTGGGGGATATTAAGAGTAAAGATGACCACAAATGCCACATCTTTCTTATTTCTTTCAGATCATTTTATATATCACTTTATCATTACTTTTTGTTCTATTCCAAAAGCATTCTAATATAAAACATTAACATTAAGATGAGAAAAAAAATATTTTAAGTGCTTTTAAAGAAGAACTCCCATAATTGTTTCAATGGTGTTAAAAGATAACTCTTAGACGATTTTAAAACTGTCACCTATAACTTTTTTTTTTTTTTTATGCAATTTGTTTACCCTCCTTTTTACATAAACGGCAATCTGCTTTTGTTTTCAGGTGTGTTTGCTGCTCCATTTATTAAAGAAGAGATGGCAAAGAAGTTCATCAGGCAGAAGAGACAGGATGGATACTGGGATCCCCACCACTCTCAGAACGCCTGGGGTTTCACCATCCAGGAACAGGTAATTCTTTAAACGCACAAAATTTCTGTCCAGTTAAGATGGAGACACAATATTGCTGCACTGGTACTCAATACAGAAGCTTGGAAAATCTTGCAGTTAATACTTATAGATGTACTTGAACTTGAAAGGTAATTTCTCTGGTCTTTAGGCCAACGAGCAATGGACGGCAATTCGAACAGCTGCTCAATACTACATGGACATGGGCAGCCTGATGTTTGACCCTGTTGTGGCAGAGTGAGTCAATCTTCATACTTAGCTCACTGCTGAACTTTATGGAAACCATTAATCAAGCTAACTTAAAACTTATTTTTCAATATTAAATCAAATATATTATGATTCAACAATAACTCTTTTCTTTTTATGTGGGTGTGTTGTAGTGAGAACACCAGGCAGTTAATGGAGATGCTGCGAAATGTACAGGTGCTGGTCATAAAATTAGAATATCATGAAAAAGTAGATTGATTTCAGTAATTCCATTTAAAAAGTGAAACTTGTATATTATATTCATACATTACATACAAACTCATATATTTCAGATGTTTATTTTGTTTAATTTTGATGATTACAAATGACAACAAATGAAAATCTCAAATTCATCATATCAGAAAATTAGAATATTGTGAAAAGGTTCAAAATTGATGGCCCCTGGTGCCACACTCTAATCAGCTAATTAACTCAAACCACCTGCAAAAGCCTTTAAATGGTCTTTCAGTCTAGTTCTATAGGCTACACAATCATGGGGAAGACTGCTGACTTGACAGTTGTCCAAAAGACGACCATCGACACCTTGCACAAGGAGGGCAAGACACAAAAGGTCATCGCTAAAGAGGCTGGCTGTTCACAGAGCTCAGTGTCCAAGCACATTAATAGAGAGGCGAAGGGGAGGAAAAGATGTGGTCGAAAAAAGTGTACAAGCAAGAGAGATAACTGCACCCTGGAGAGGATTGTGAAACAAAACCCATTCAAAAATGTGGGGGAGATTCACAAAGAGTGGACTGCAGCTGGAGTGAGTGCTTCAAGAACCACCACACACAGACGTATGAAAGACATGGGTTTCTGCTGTCGCATTCCTTGTGTCAAGCCACTCTTGAACCACAGACAGCGTCAGAAGCGTCTTGCCTGGGCTAAAGAGAAACAGGACTGGACTGCTGGTGAGTGGTCCAAAGTCATGTTCTCTGATGAAAGTAAATTTTGCATTTCCTTTGGAAATCAAGGTCCCAGAGTCTGGAGGAAAAGAAGAGAGGCACTTCATCCACGTTGCTTGAAGTCCAGTGTAAAGTTTCCACAGTCAGTGATGGTTTGGGGTGCCATGTCATCTGCTGGTGTTGGTCCATTGTGTTTTCTGAGGTCCAGGGTCAACGCAGCCGCATACCAGGAAGTTTTAGAGCACTTCATGCTTCCTGCAGCTGACCAACTTTTTGGAGATGCAGATTTCATTTTCCAACAGGACTTGGCACCTGCACACAGTGCCAAAGCTACCAGTACCTGGTTGAAGGACCATGGTATCCCTGTTCTTAATTGGCCAGCAAACTCTCCTGACCTTAACCCCATAGAAAATCTATGGGGTATTGTGAAGAAGATGCAATACACCAGACCCAACAATTCAGAAGAGCTAAAAGCCACTATTAGAGCAACCTGGGCTATCATAACACCTGAGCAGTGCCACAGACTGATCGACTCCATGCCACGCCGCATTGCTGCAGTAATACAGGCCAAAGGAGGCCCAACTAAATACTGAGTGCTGTACATGCTCATACTTTTCATGTTCATACTTTTCAGTTGGCCAACATTTCTATAAATCCTTTGTTTTTATTGGTCTTCAGTAATATTCTAATTTTCTGATATGATGAATTTGAGATTTTCATGTGTTGTCATTTGTAATCATCAAAATTAAACAAAATAAACATCTGAAATATATGAGTTTGTATGTAATGTATGAATATAATATACAAGTTTCACTTTTTAAATGGAATTACTGAAATCAATCAACTTTTTCATGATATTCTAATTTTATGACCAGCACCTGTACAAGATCACCTGGACAGCCAGACGGGTCGATAAAGACAGAAAACACCAAGAGAGGAACAAGACTTCGTGATGAAGACACAAATATGGAGACTCTTATTTTTAAGGCCAGGATTTTGATGTAAATGGGATTTATAGATTGTACAAATAAGAGTGGATTTTATTTTGGTCTGTACTTGTCTGTGATGTGTCTGTGTTTTTGAATTTGTCATTTTCTGAACTTTTGTCTTTTATTGGAAATGATTTTTACAACCTTAAATGTAGCCTTTTTAGACATATGCCCCCAAAAATGCTTCTATTCCTCTATTCTTTTCATCCACTAAAGGTGATTATAAGCTCTCAGTGATTATTAACTTTCCTTGATATTCATATACATATCAACTAAATAAGCAGAAAATGTAATAGAAATAGCATTAAAATGAAAAAAAAAAGATCTTTATGAAAGATATCATTCACATTATAAACCGTTGCATTTCTTCTGAATGAACTTGCATAAAGTCAAAGGTTAAATTTGAATGTTTTTATTTTGTTTCAAGTTTTAGTTTAACCATTTTTTTTTTTTTTACATTTCGGTCTTATATGATTTACCACTCAGTGGCAAAACTAACAGTAAACATTTGCTTACTTAATAAGTCAGCAATTTTCTCATTTCTTTATTGCAGCCTCTATGTTAACACAATGCCTGCAGTACATAAAAACTACATTTATTTTTCCAATACAACTAGGAAAAAGAATGCAATTAAGTAAAACAAATAAATCCATGGCTTATCTAAAATGCTTTTAGTGCCATAAAATGCCAATTACTTCCAAACAACTTATGATAATCAAATACATTTTTCATTCTTAGAGAGCATATTAAAATACTGTTTACAATTACCAAAGAGAAATTTAATACAAGAGCTTTGAGTATCAACTATTCTATTTTTTTCAATCTCTTTAAGGGTTTTACAAAAAATCTATAAAGTGAAATTCTTTTAGATATTTTTTTATGGGAGCTCTAAATGATTGTTTTCATCTTGACAAAGGTATGCAGAAAAAAAAACCTAACATCTATAGAGAACAAATGTTTTGGGGCAAGTGAGTTAAGTGCAGAACTCAAGCTCTTTAATTCTATATGCATAAATAATTTTTACTCTTTGGACTCCAGTTCACTAAAGATCAGCCTTTATAACTTATGGAAGGGTGAACTTGGACGACTTGCAGAGCTGAATATTGGATTGTGAGGAAATGTCTTAAAAATAAGATGGACTCAAGGAAGTGCTGTAATAGCTGAACTGTTGTGTATTTTAAATGCAAACAAATATGTACAGTTGTGCTTGAAAGTTTTCATACCCATCCATTAAAGACAGAAAAAAAATCAGCCGCCAGGGAAATAAATTGAAATTAACAAAATTAAAATAATGAAAATTGGAAATCATAACATTGATGGTAAATGGCATGTACTTATATAGCGCCTTTATTCAAGTCAGGAGACTTGACCAAAGCGCTTTACACTACATTCATTCACTCATTCACGCACACACTGATGGTGGCAAGCTACATTGTAGCCACAGCTGCCCTGGGGCTCACTGACAGAAGCGGGGCTGCCGTACACTGGCGCCACCGGGCCCTCTGACCACCATCAGTAGACAATGCAGGTGAAGTGTCTTGCCCAAGGACACAATGACACTGAAAGTCGGAGCCGGGGCTTGAACCGTCAATCCTTCGATTTCAACGCCACTGTCGCCCCTATTTGATTTCAAATATCTATAGATCTATCTATAGATAGTATCTATAGATACTTTCCATAAGATCTATAGATAGATAGGTTATGTAAACTTTTAAGCACAATTTCATATATATATATATATATATATATATATATATATATATATGTGTGTGTGTGTGTATTCTTGCTCAGCTTTAACTTAATATGTAATCTTGATTTAAGATTTTCAGCTGCCTGAGAAGGCTACACTGTTTGTTACTGGTGTAAAGGAGGCTCCTCGGTTGCAGATGGAGGAGGGATTTTCAGGAACATCTGCAGGGCTGGAGTGAAGATAAGGATGGTGCCCAGAATTGAGACAGTGAGGAAAGCCCACAAGAAGATTCGGTCCAGCACCTGGGCAACAAACTTCCAGTCTTGGACCACCTGTGGAAAACAGAAATCCGACATGAATTAAGGGTAAAACAATAGGAGCAGATTTTTACCTATAACTGTACACACCTCACGAATGAAGTGCTCTTTGCGGATATGTCTGCTGATGTAACGCACTGAAGAGATGGCTTTCTCCAACATGGTGGCCCAAGCTTCTTCCTCTTTCTTTCCATCAGAAGCTGCCTGTCCATAAGTTCCACTGCTTGTCCTCTGGCCTCCCCTCCGACCTCCAGAGCGAGACTTCATTTCAGGACTATCTGGAGCCAGCTCCGGGTAGTGGTACCGGTCAGTGTGTCCTCGCATACAAAGCAGCCTAGGTAGTTTTTGAAGAAAAAGAGTACGAACCCAGGGCGACATTGGGTGGTAGGTGGCTGAGGACCGATGGTGCACATTGATGACGAAAACGGTGACAATGATCGAAAGTGTGACAAAGATCATGATGAAGAGCAGATATTCTCCGATGAGAGGGATTACTTTGGAGGAGGAGGGAATGATTTCCTCTATGACCAATAGGAACACAGTGAGAGACACTAGGACAGAGGTGGAGAGAGACAGCTTCTCACCCTCATCCGAGGGAAGGTAGAACACCAGGACAGTAAGAAAGGACAAACCCAAACAGGGAATGATGAGGAAGAGTGTGTAGAACAGTGGTAATCTCTTTAGGATGAAGGAGTAGGTGATAAATGGGTAGGAATACATTCCATCCCTCCTGTTTCCCTTGGCTCCAGTGGCACTGAGTATTTCCCACTCGCCATTATCAAAGAAGTCCTTTCGATCAACATGGTTTTCCATCAGAACAAGATCCACCATGTTGCCATCATAGGTCCACGACCCAAACTTCATTGAGCAGTTTTGTCGGTCGAAGGGGAAAAAGGTGACATCCATGGTACAGGCAGATTTGTAACTAGCAGGCGGTCTCCAGGTGATGGCACCATTGTGCTTTACGATAGCTTTGGTCATCAGGGAGCCCTCAAAACGTCCATCAGCACTGAAGCAATAAAAGTTAAAATCAGGAATTTTTGTTTCCACCATATCTACACAGTGCAGCACTGCAAACCTTCACAATATATTAATTGTTGTCAATGGAGTAAATCAAATAAAGTAAAAAAAACTGAGTATAAAACCCTAAAAATTATCAGTTAAAAATAATGTACAGTTATATTTAGTTTATTTTTTCACACTAAATTAGTTTGTAAATTGAATGACAACCAATCTTCCAGGCGATAGCCAATAAGGTTTCCAGCAAACAGATTAGAAACAATCATGATTTATAATTTCTTGCAACTAAAATCTGTGCTGCAGTACAAACACTAGATTATGCATATACAGCAAAATCTGTACGGTCGGTTTCTCAGTGTGAATACTTTTGAGTTGGTAGTTTGTTGATGTTGGAATTGTTATAGTGTTCGAAGAGATGAAAAAGCTCTGCAGGCGTTGCCAGTCAAGCAAGTTTAATATTAACACCTTAAACTGAGTTGCTTTCACTTCAGCTGGTGTTGATAATTGCATCTAGTTTTGGGTGTGTATGCCTTTTTCCCCTATGCCAGTTTAAAAACGTATGGAGTATGTACCAGTGAAACCCATTATGTTTCTTCTTGAAGGTAACTAAAAGTGTTTTCTGATTTACTGGTTTTATGGTGGTGGCCTGTATCTGGTAACTGGTTACTGGTTTGAGACCCAGCTCCATCGGTCTCAGCTGTGGTGTCCTTGTCCTACAGTAGAGCTTCACACACCTCACCAGTTGCCGAGGGTCAGACAGCCTGATGCCCGATTGTTTTTCAACCTTGCTAACGTCTTTGTAGCTGTGACTACAATCCCACTACAGTGTGCAAATGACTGAAGTATGGAGTGCTTGGACTATACAGGCCATAAACACATGATGCCAATGTGTTAACAATTAATTTTAACACATTAGCAAAAGAAAAAAAAGCATGATTTTTCGGTTGTAAAAATGTTCTTAAATTTGTACTGAAATTACACCACATATGTTTAAAAAACACCTTTGAAAAGTGTCAAATCTACTGATTTTGCTGTGTACAAAGGAATAACTGGATTTTTTTCTTTATCATTATTTGTAAACCCTCCTTTTAGTGTACAACATATTAGGATTGGTCCTTTACCCATAAAAATACAAACGTGACTTGATGTTAATAAACTGCAGTGTCATTCAATTACCACCAGGTGGAACTGAAACACATAACATGGGTTTGCGATAAAAGCAACAACAGTCAGTTGGTGTGAGGGATGAGTGTGCATCTTACTTCTCATACAGGACAATATCTGGGAGCCAAATATTTTCTGAAGGAACTCTGATGGAGGTAATCCCACAGTATTTATCTGGATTCCATCGCAGCTTATAATCAATCCACTCCTGGCCAACATAGACACAAAGCATGTCATATCTCCACTTTGCAGAACACAACACAACTACAATATTTGATTAAAATAGATTATATCAGATTGCGTTTGTGATTATCACTGTATTTCTTTATTGCTTTTCTGCTAATTATAAGACTTCACCATGATTGCAAGTGAATGTGATGAAAAGAAAATGTCTTACCTGAGTCAACCAGACATTGGTTGTCATAAGCTGGTTTTTCTCATCCTTAAATAAAGAACAAATATCAAGTAAAGTATTAAAGTATCTATTTAGTATAAAACAATATAAAACACAATAACAGAGTTGAACTTTTAGAGCAGAACACACAAAAAGCCTGAAATTTTAATAATCATACACACTATTTGAGCAAAGATTATTAATCTATATTTGTTAGATTTATATGATGCTTTCAGTTATTTACATAAATTAAGCTAATCAAATAAAAATATTATTTATTTTATTCTTATTATATGTAAATAATATTTTGAATTTTGCATTAAAATTGTTGAACTGTCTTTTGTGAAGAATGCTTTTAGGTTATAAAAGTATTTCATGTTTGTTTTTTGTTAATATTCGATTTTGTATATATTTTTTGCATACTTTTTATTTAATTCATATTTATAGATATTGATCAGGCAACAGCTGTAACTATTTTCAAACAAACTTATTTACCTACATTGTTCTCTTTGCTGTTTAGCTGTTCTTTTCTAGAAGTTTTTCAAAAAAGGAACATAATTTGTTAATTTTAATAAACAAAAATAAATAAATAAAAAATAGAGTGCTGTGGAACAAACAAGGGCAATGCAAATATATACAGATATTAAACAAAGGTAGCCAGAAAATGATTTTTGGGAGTTCACTAACTTATTTTCACATCCCTAAAAGTAGGCTTTAGACAAAAGTGAAAGCTTTGGTGAGATAAATGTTGGAAATGTGAGCTCCAGCAGATCATCCCGTCCAAGCCTCAGCTGTCAGAGGGAGTTGGATGGTTTGGT